CCCCACCTTGTTCTCGGGCCCCGCCACCGGCGGCCTCCACAGACGAAGTACTCGTTGACAGCTGCAGCAGAGCTTCGGCCGCCTGGATCTCTTTAAAATTGTCGCTAACAACCCAATGCGCGCGATCGGAAAAGTCAATTGTCCAACCTCTCAGAGGATGCGTGCCAGGCAAGGCAGACGCACTAGAGGCCATTTGAGGGGATATGGCCTGCTGTTGGGCTACCGGTAGGCTGGAGCTCTCGTGTGGCTCTTGCCCAGTGCGCGGCTGTTTAGCTGGGGGCACAGTCGAAGCTGAGGCATCATGGTCACTATCAGAGTCCAGCCATGCTGACACCTCATCCGAATCGCTCTCACACAAGCTTTCAAATCCACGCTTCCTTCCCTCACCGGCAGACAGCCGGCGAGCGCGAGTGTGCAGTGCATGGTTCCACATCTGAGCTCGGCTGCAAATGGATATTAACAACACAGCTGCAGTTATAGAGGCCAATGCAGCTATGAATGCGCGTGTACAAGAGTGAGCCCGCAGAAGAGATCCACCACCCGACGACAGCTCCGGCGCTTGTGCATTAGTTGGAGTGACAGAAAGTGCATCTGCTGCCTCCACATAGGGCCCAACTGCGCTGCTCGAAAAGCCTCCACTCTCCATTCTCTCATACCCACTGAGAAATAAATCTGGTTTTCATTAATCCATAATCCCACTCCGCCACTCACAACGGTTGTTGCGCCAACTGCAAACCCAGCGTCGCAGTCCCACTTCGACGCCTGGAATATCCCCTCCGCAGAATGGGGGGCTCTAAAGAACGAAAGCGGCGGAAAATAGTATGGCGGCGCAGATACGAAGCAAATATCTCAACCTGCAACCCGACTGCAGAGCTCGGTGCCCACGCAGAAGTGAGGACACGTTTATTGGAGCGAATTTCCGTTGTGGTCGGCTTAGTTGCACTTAAAATACTGCGTTTCAGTAACAGCTTGTTTTGGGTACAGCTTTGTCAAGCCACACAGAAAACTGTTGTTGCCGCGCCGCAGTTCTGATTTGACATCACCGGAGCGGCAGGAAAT